TTGTTTTTTGTTTTGGTTTTTTTTCCGGTACCGGGAATGGAATTCATGACTTTGCGCTTGCCGGGCAGAAGAAATAGTCTTGATTGTGCTTGTACTTAGTTTACATGGTCTCACTTTTATATCATGAAACTGCTCACCATTTGCTTTCTTAACATCCCAGGTATACCTACACAAGGCCCTGGGTTCGAGCCCCAGCACCATTAAAATAAAATAAAATAAAATATAATGCCAGGTATACTATGGTTCTATCCAAAAAGAGAATGAATTTGTCTGTCATGCTTTTTCAATAAACTCATGCTGACTTAGTAGTTACTTTTTCCCCCTAGTTGTTTAAAAGCACATCTTTTGGACATTTCCTTTTAGAATCCTGTTTGGGATCAGTAGTAGGATCCTTGACTTACGGTTTGTAGATTCTACTATCTTTTCTTATTACAAAAGTAAAATATTTTACTTATTACCAGTTTTCGCTCAAGGTTTGGGTTTTACATGTACTCTCAGACTTTGCTAGTGGCTTAAGGGTTAACCTGTAAGTTTCATCAAAACTTTGGAATGTACTTTGTTCAGCCTACAAGTGGTAGATTTATTTAGAGAAGTCAGGTGTTCTCTTATAATCTTTACCTTCAGTTCCCTCTTATGATGTTTGTTTTGTACTTTTTGAATGTGATTCTTCTTAGTAAGAAAGAAAGAAATGGGTTACTCATTAATCACTGCGTCATGAATTCCAGCAAGGGACATTTCTTCCTTGCTTTTTCCCCAGACTTCATCCTTTTTGGCAATATATTAAGATATAAATTGTATACTATATTATTCATTGTTTTTAAATGTACAACTCAACAATTTTTAGTGTATTCACAGAATTGGATGACCATCACTACTATTGAGTTTTAAAACGTTTTTATTACCCCAAAAAGAAACCCCATTTCTGTTATTAATCACTCCTTTTCCTTCCCAAATTAACTTCCCAGCTCCAGGCAACCACTAACCTACTTTCTAACTGTATAGATTTGCCTATTTTCAGATTTTTTTCTGAGTGGTATCATATGACATGTGGTCTTCTGTGACTGACTTCTAACACTTAGCATGTGTTTAAGGTTCGTCAGTGTTGTGGCATATATGTACTTTTTCCTTTACATTGCTATTACATTTTATTTATCAACTCATTAGTTAATGGAATTTTCTACTTTTTGCCTCTTATGAATAATTGCTGCTATGAACATTAGTGTCTAACATTTTAAGTGGACATCTGTTTTTGTTTCTCTTGATTATATATCTAAGTAGAAATGGCTGTATACCTAAAGACTGAGTCAATGGAGACTGTATTGCCAAAGTAGCTTTACCATTTTGTATTCCATTAGCAGTGGAGGAAGTTATATTCTTCTATATCATCATCATTTACTCTAGTCTGTCTTCTTTTTTTTTGTTTGTTTTTTTCTGGTACCAGGAATCGAACTCATGACCTCGTGCTTGCCAGGAAGGCGCTGTGCCATTGAACTAAATCCCCAACCCCTTAGTCTGTCTTCTTGATTATAGTCATCCAAGTGGGAATAAAATGGCATCTTACTGTGATTTTTGACTTGTATTCCCTGATGTTTAGTGATGTTGCCATCCTTGCATGTACTTATTGGTTATTTGTATATATTTTTGAGAAGTTTCTACTTAAGAGCTTCAGCCACAAGTGGTGGCACACACCTGTAATCCCAGCAGTTGGGAGGATGAAACAGGATCACCATGAGTTCGAGGCCAGTCCGGGTTATGGGAGTAAGTTCAAGGCCAGCCTGCACTACATGGTGAAACCCTATTTCAAAAAAAAAAACTAGCCAGATTTTAATTTGGTTATTTCTTATTATTGAGTTGTAAGAATTCTTTAGTTTACATACATAAACTACATATAGTCTTCATGTGGCTCTCATGTGGCTTACAAATATTTTCATACTTCCTGTGGGTTGCCTTTCCACTTTTTGATACCATCGAGAATTATAAAAGTTTTAAATTTTAAATAAGACTTTTTTTCTGCTGTTGCTGTGGTTTATTGTTTTAATGTCATATATAAGAAACTATTGCCTAATTTCTGAAAAATCTGTGCTTTCTTCAGCACTATATATGTGCTCTCCTTTCTATACCAGCTAATCATTAAAGCTCCCTTGATGTCATATTAACTTTAAAAATTATCTTTCCTTGGTTTTTCTACTTGATAATCTTAGGATAGTGACAGCTTTTTAAAGTGTCATCTTCTGGGCCTGGGGGTTTAGCTCAGTGGCACAGCGCCTACCTGGCAAATGTGAGGTCATGAGTTCAATTGCCAGTACCGAAAAAAAAAGTGTCATCTTCTTCATCTGTAAAATGGGAATAATAGTACTTCTTACCTAAAATTTCATCTAAAGGATTAAAATGCTTATTATAGAGGTTTTTACAGAGAAAGCACTTGAAACTTTCCAGCTATACTATTAGAAATTTTCTTTAAGTATTATTTTGGAAATCTTTTCCCTAAATATATATATATATTTTTTTCTTTCCTTTTTGAGACAGGCTCACTATACAGTTCAGGCTGGCCTTGAGCTCACTTTGTAGCCCAGACCGGTTTTGAACTTGCAATAATCCTCCTGCCTCAGCCTCCCAAGTACTGGGATTAGAGGTGTGTGCCACCATGCCCCAAGCAAAAATATTGTAATAGGTGTCTTTCTTGACTTGAGTACTGTTAGCTTATGATAGAAGTTTAACGTATGTCTGCTAATTTTAATTCATCTCTAATATATAGTACCCATTACATTGAGTGCGAACTGGGATGTTTGAACTTGGTAAGGAGCTTTTTGTTGTTGTATTTTGTTTTTTTCTTTTTCTTTTTTTTGTCTTTTTGAGACAGGGTCTTGCTATGCAGTTCAAGTTGGCCTTGAGCTCACTTTGTAGCCTAGAGTGGTCTCAAACGTGCAACGATCCTCCTTCCTCAGCCTCTTGAGTGCTGGGATTACAGGTGTGCACCACCACACCCAGCTCTGTATTTTGTTTTTCGAGGCAGTGTCTCCTTATGTAGTTCAGGCTGGCCTTGAACTTGCTGCAGTCTTCCTACCTCAACCTCTTGAGTGCAAGGATTACAGTTGTGCACCACCATGCCCAGTTTGGGAGCTTTTTACTAAAAAAAAAAAAGGAGAAAGGAAAACTGAAAAATTAAATATCACCTACTTTGGTTAACTGAATTTGAGTTAGCCCTTCTAGAAAGGAAAGATGGCAAAATTATATTTCCAAAAATACTCAAATGGGAAAAGTGCTGAATTTATAGAGAGTAGGGGATTAATTTAGAGACAAACTGAAAAGTAAATCCCCAAATATTGGTAGGTGACATAGACATTTTAGAAAAGATGCCAAAGATAAAAGTTCTCCAATGTTGATTATATTATCAGGAGCAGTGAACTGTTTGGCATGCCTGTTCTTTGAACAATTTGATGTTTGTTCTTGACTGAGACAAGAGTCTTCTATTCAAAAGCTTTTTCTTATCACTTGGTGAGGCTTTTCCTAGTCTCCTCATGCTTATTAGATAGAGATATGATTGATGACGTCGAAACATCTTTCACAACCTTTTGTTGAGATGTTTCTGATCCAGAAATCCAGTATCTTTTATTTATCTTTTAATTTATGCAGAAATTACTAAAACTTTCCATTCAGCAGTGCCTGGTCTGTCTGATCTTTCAGACTATGATCTTAATTTGATATAAATATCATATGTTTAAATTGCTCTAGCCATGCAAATTATCTAATTTACGTTACTAAATATTTGGGGGCTGATGTTTTAGCTCAGTGGTACAGCACATGCTTAGCATTTTTTTTTTTGGTTTGTTTTTGTTTTTTTTTTTAGTTCATGCTTAGCATTTTTTAGGCCCTGGACAAAATGCCCAGTGCATTCCCCCCAAAAAGCAAAGAAAATAAAAATAAAAAATATTTGTGGAATATATGAAAGTATGATTAGATTATGATGAATGATTGTATAAATGAGTATCCTTTCTTTTGCTCTCTATTTCCCCAGCTTTTTGTTTGAATTTTTAGTAACAGGTGCTGTTCAAATGCTACTCTGTGCATATTATTCCTGTTACTCAGATTGTTTGACTTTTTCTAATTTTTTTTTTTTTTTTTTTTTTTTTGTCTTTTTGAGACAGAGTCTTGCTGTATAGTTCAGGCTGCCCCTGAACTCACTGTGTAGCTTAGTCCCTGAACTCTGCAGCAGTCTTTTTGCCTCAGCCTCTTGAGTGCCTGCACCACTACACTCAGCTCAGATTGTTTGAGGTTTTGATGCATGAATTTGCGTGTCATTCTTGTGCAGGGGCCATGCTAATCTGCTCTGTATCATTCCAGTTTTACTATATCTGCTGCCGAAGCAAGCACTGATTGAGTTTTTGGCATTGAAGCCATTTTTCCTGTTATATTATAAGCTCCTAGAAAGTTGAGTCTGTATCTTATTTATCTTTATATTTTCCATGACACACTGCATTGTACAACATTTATATTTATGCTTAAGGATAAAGCATAATTAAAGCATATTTATTCATTAAATGAATAGTGTAATTTAATAATTACATTGTAGGTAAGAATTTTGGATTCAGAATATTTAAAAAGATGTTAGTATTAAATATGACAAAAATTAATAAGCTTTTTTCCTGACTTTTAGTTGGTATTACTAATACTTTATTAACTGAATTTGCAATCTTTCCACAGGCTTCTGTCTCAAAATAGGGACAAGTTTAAAGCAGAGCTCCCTTCTATCCATTTCCCTTTCCAGTTGTATTTATCTTTTCACAATGATTCATTCTTTCTATTTCTTTATAATTCCTAATGCTTCATACAACTTTGTTTCCTTGTCACCTGCTCTCTTTATTTTTGGGCTTTTAGGCTGACTTTTTCCTGCACTTGCTGTCATCTCATTCCTTGCCCTCAAGGTACATGGCGGTAGGGAGGAGCCCAGCTGGGGTAGGGGTGGAGCTACCTATTCACTGCTTGTGTAGACCTGCCTGAGAAGGAGCTGAGCTGCTTGCCACCAGCAGGGATTGAAGTCCCCATGGCCTTTCCCCTGGAGGTTAGCATTCTGGAGGACAAGTGGGACTTGGTAAGGTCAGAAGCTGGCCATCTTTTCTTTATTGCTCCCCCTTTCTTCTTTCTTCTATATTTTTCTCTCATGGTATCTCTCTGTCATGCTACTAATTTTTCTTTTTTCTGTTCCGTGTCATTCACTGTTCCATTATTTTCTGACTTTCTAGCTGTCAATCAACTTTATTTAGTGTTTTTCTTTCTTATTACCCATCTTCTCTATATATTTCTCTATCCTCTCTTAAAATTAAACTTCCCTACTTCTTCTCCTTTATTCCTCCTTTTTTGTTTTCTCATTCAACTATCTTTTTTTAATCCAATCGTTTTCTATCCATCTCTCTATTTATTTTACTATTTTGCAGAGAAGTAGGACTAAGAGAGGGGAAAGGGAACCATCCCGCCTTTCCAGAGGCCTGTTCGGCCTTTTCACTCATTTCCAGACTTGTGATATGTTTTGATTTGGCCTTGAAGAAGAATTTCTGCTGAAGAGAGGGGTTAATAAATAGTGAAGTTGGAGTTAGGTTGAATATTAAATATAAAAGGTTTAATTTTTCTCTCTTTCTTAGTTTTTTTCTGCAATTCAATGGATACAGTTTGTCATGGCTACTCTGAGGTATGTTTATTTTATCTTGTATAATATGGCTGTCTAAAGTGGTATAAACAAAACTGGAGAATTCTGCAGTTTCTACATTTCTGCCCTCAGGATTTAATATTATTTTTAAGATAGAGAGAAATGATGTTCTTTACTGTGTTGATGCTTTCTAATAAAATGTAGTAACATCAACAACGGAAATAAAAACAGATTTAAGGATAACATCTGAGGTCAGTGAATCCCCCTTTAGCACATATATTAAAAAGCGAAATTATGCAAAGAAGATTGGCATGGCCCAAGGATAAAGAAGAATAACGTAAATTCATGAAATATTCCCCCCCTTTTTTTTTTGAGACAAGGTCTTGCTTTGTAATGCAGGCTGTACTTGAACTCACTATGTAGCTAATGCCGGCCTCAAATTTGCTGTGATCCTCCTATCTCAGCCTCCCAAGTGCGGGGATTACAGATGTGTGCCACCATGACCAGATACTTCATATGTTTTTAAATGATTAGTTTATTTTTTTACCAACTGTGTCAATAAAACTGTAACAAAAATCAGTAACAAAAATGAAGGGGACTTGTTTTGTTTTAATAATTTCCCTCTGCTTGTCAGCGTTATAGGTTCAAGTTCACTTATTACCTATGCTGTGTTCCAGAATATACAGAAATCTCCAGAGGTGAGCAGTGTCTCTTTGTGTTGAATTTGAAGTTTTAGTGTCTTAGCCTTTGAAGTAAATAAAAGTGTATCTATAAATGATGAATAATTCTATGAATTACTTATAAATTCCTCACTATATAAGGCTGATATATTTTAGGCACTGTCAGTAGGGCTTCATTTTATTTTCTTCTTTATTTTAAAAATTTTATCTTTCAGTTTTGGAGATTGAGCCTGGGGTCTTTGCACTGAGCCATACCCCTGATTTTTAATTTTTCATTTTGAGACAGGGTCTCATTGAGTTGCTGATTTGTCCAGGCTGGGCTCAAATTTGGGATCCTTCTGCTTCAGCCTTCCAGATCTCCTATCAGAAGGATAAGGATATATCACCATGCCTGGCTAAGCTCCCTTTTCTTCTAGGCAACTATTTTAACTATAACTTTGAATTCTTAGAGATTATCTTTTAAATGTGGATTTTTTTTAGTGTGCACTGCTGATTAAGGAAACAGCTAATTGTCTGAAACCTGTATTCATTCACTGATTTTTTTTTTGTTTGTTTGTTTCTGGGAATCAAACTCATGACCTCAGGCTTGCCAGGCATGCGCTTATGCTACTGAGCTGTATCCTTGGTCCTTTTCTGATTTTTAAACCTTAGTAAAATTGCTCATGGGGCTAGGAGATAGTTGGAAGATTTTAGTATATATAAGGTATTTGTTTTGCTGCTTTCCTTTTAGGAAATTAAAATTTAATATTGAGAAAAATATATTTTTTTGTAAAACAGTTTATATAAAAGATAAATTAAAACCATCCTGGGGGCTGGAAACTTAACTCAGCGGCACAGTGCCTGCCTGGCAAGCGCAAGGTTGTGAGTTCTACTCCCAATACCGGGGGGTGGGGGGGTTGGGGGGGGGAATCCTGATTCATAGACTAAACATAATGATTTTTCGCTTGCTAAATAAAGATTTTAAGAGATACGTGACAGTTGTTCCTCTAACCAGGCCAAATGACACCAAATTCTGTAAAACATAATTCAAAACATGTATGGTAGAGCCTTTGTATATGGAAAATGTCACTGGTATTTTTTGTTGTTATTTTCTTTGCAATACTGGGGATTGAACCCAGGGACTTGGCAAACACTAGGCAAGTGCTATACCACAGAACTGCACCCCTGGTCCTGTTTAATTTTCTTTTTTTTTTAATTTTGAGAAGAGAGCTCACTAAGTTGTGCAGGCTGGACTTGAACTTGAGATCTTCCTGCCTTAGCCTTCCAAATAGCTGGTAAGGTATGCCCTGTGGCATTAAGAACTATTAGGTTTTATTGGACTCACTTCAATAGCAGAAATAGCTTCTGTTAACAGAATACTTACTGTTATGGTTTAGATATAAAATCACCCCTAAAGTCTTCTGTGTTTAGAAGGTGATGTGTGGGGTCAGGTGGGGGCTGTAGTCATCAGAGGGTTCATCTATTGGTGCATTCAGTAGCTAAGTGTGCTGTTAGGAAGTAGGACCTCATTGGAGGTGGCTCATTGGGGGTATACCCTGGAAGGGTTTATTTCTCTCCCCAGTGGTCTCTTCTCCCTCTGCTTCTTGTCTGCCATGAGATGAGTAGCTGTCCTCTGCTCAGGCCCTTGCATTGTGCTGTTTCTGCCTTGGAGCCAGCAAACCATGAATTGAAACATTAAGCCAAAATAAACCTCTTACCCTTTAAATTGAAAGGGTCGGGTTTTTGTCTCCATGACAGAAAGAGACTGAGACACTGTGTTCCAGCTGTCTTGGGTACTCACATACTTCATCCCATTGTACCTTGTCACTCTCCTATCAGAAGGATAATATTAGGCCTGTTTCACAAATGAAGAAGTTGAGAAATTGAGGCTTAAAGTCAGGAAATGACTTATTCAGGTTACATAGTAACTAGCAGAGCAGGAATTTTCAGATGTTCATATGGTTATTTTTTTTCCCTAGTACTGGAGAATGAATTCAGCCTTTTCACTGAACTATATCCCCAGCCATTCTTTTATATATATATATATATATATATATATATATATATATATATATATATATATAAAATTTTTTTTTTTTTTTTGAGACAGGCTCTCTCTAAGTCATTAAGTTATCCAGATTGGACTTGAACTTGTGACCCTACTGCCTTAGCTTCACAGAGTATTGGAATTATATCACCTGGAGCCACCACTGGAGCCACCATGGCCTGCTCAAAAGTCAATACATTCAGCTATAATCCTCCTCCAAATTAAAGAAGGGTGTTTGTGTTTACTGTGTTCTCAATACATGTGCTCAGTGCTTTAAATATATTTTTCAGCCGGGTGTGGTGGCACATGCCTGTAGTCCTCGAGGCCAGCCTGAACTGCATAGCAAGACCCTGTCTCAGAAAACCAAAAAAAAAATTTTTTTTTTCCATTTAATCCTGAAAACAACTCAGAAAGGGGTTTGGGGGTATAGTATAGTTCAGTGGTAGAGTATGTACTTAACATGCACAAGGCCCTAAAGTCAATCCTTAGCACCAACTTTCAGCAGCAGCAAGAGCAACTCTGACATGGATATTAGTCAGATATTGTAGACAGGAAATGGAATCTTAGTGAGATTGACTTTCCTGAGAGCTTATACTGTAGCTAGGAACAGTTAGAGTTGGAATTTGAGTGCAGACTTATCTAGTTGCAAAACATTGCCCCAGGTATACCTTTAAAACCACTGAAATATACTGCCTAATGCAAGAGAATTTTAAAGTTTCAGAATTACATTGTAACTATGAAAGTAAAACTAGAAAGTAGTCAGTGGGGTGTCAGGCCTGTATGTTTAGCTGGTTGGGATATGAGAGAGGAGGATCTCTTGAGCCCTGAAGTTTGAGGCCAGCCTGGAGAACACAGTGAGAGAGTGTTTTAAAAACAAAAAGTCTTGATACTAAATTGCCCTTGTCTGCCAAGTAATTTTAGGCCAAGTGTTCCTCAGATTAAGATTTCTCTGTTTCTTTCCTTTGCTGGGATTTGAGTCTAGATGTGACTAAATTAGTACAGCTTGAGTTACACGGAGAGAAATAGGCTTCATTTCTGAACTATAGTTTCTCAACCTCAGCACTATTGACTTTTTGAGCTAAATAATTGCTTGTTATTGAGTACTGCCGTGCACATTAAGATGTTTAGTAGAACTTACTTGCCAGATATTAATAGCACAAAGCTTCCCTTTTCAGTTCTAACAACAAAAAATGTCTTTAGACATTGTCAGATGTTCCTTGAGATGAGGACAGCTCACACCTGCTTGCCCTAAGGTGACATGCTCTAAGGTAGCATGACATGTTAGGGCTTTGTGAAGATGTAGCGTCTAGTGCGGTGTAGAATGGGACTTTTAATTTCTGGGCTTCATTTCTCACATAATTCACATTGCCAGAACCTGAGGATCTTAGCATCTCTTAGTTAACATTTATTTTTTCTTTTTCTTTTCTTTTTTTTATTTTAAAGAGTAAAAGAAGGATAACATAGTAATGGGGGTGGCTTACCAAATTACAGACAAAGTGGTAGGAAATTATCAATGGTTATTGTTTTA